AATGAGGTCTAGAGAGGTGTAGGCCTTCGAAATGATGCTCAAACTGGGGTTCCCGGAACCCTGGGGCACCATGGAGGGGCGAGAGGAGGAATCAGGCGGGCTTCCTCCCCTCACCCCAACCCTATCCGTGCACCCCAACTGCCACCAGGCGGCTTGGCTCCTGTCTGTTTTATATATTAGAACTCTGAATGAAACGTCACTGCAGAAATGAGCTTTTGCTACTTTTTTGACAAAAGGGAAGGGAAGGAAAATGTTTTCATCTGACATAACCATGATTTTTCTGGACTTATCTTACCCCGTGCTGCCCGGATCAAAGCAGACCCTTCCTTATCCCCCAAACCCCCAAGACCAAGTGTCCCCACACCCAGGCCACAGCTCCCCTCCTGGGGCGGGTGGCGACTTCTGTCCTCCCCCGGCCTGTGACATCTGAAATGAAGAAAGGAGGTACCGGGGAGAGGCACCCAAAATAAAGGCCGCGGAGGATGAAAGCCCGAGTCCAGTCTCCCCCCCGAAAAAGGACATGCGTTTGTTCTCAGGGAGAGTTGAAAGAAGAGCGAGCATTGTCCTCATGAAACGGTTCCATGTGAAGCCTTTGCTTTGGGGGTTTGTGCTGGTTCTGTGTCTCCTCTCCTCCCGTGGCCACTGCACATGAAAGGCGGGGTCAGGCAGGCGTGTGGGGGGCGCGCGCGGCCGGTTTCGCTTTGATTTTCCCCAGAGCAGCAGCGGGGAGCTCTTTCTACCTGGTGTCTGGCTGTCTCCTTCGGGCCAGTCCCAGACCCAGACCGGGCTGAGAATAATTCCTCCTCAAAAACACGCATAACAATCCCCGTTACATGTTTCCAATGCTCCACGCCTCCCTCAAAGCTCAGACAGGCGCCTTTGAGGGTTTTTCACAGAACAGAAATAAAACCTCCACAGAGGCTGGGGAAACTGGGCTGAAATCCCCCCAGGTGTGTGCCCTGCGGCTGACATGTGAGGGCCAGAAAAAGAGCCTGGGGCTCAAGGTGAGCAAGGTTTGACAAACAAAGGGGAGGACAAGAGGCTGTTTCCTGGGAGATTTCAGTCATTTTTGTTGTTTTTTTAAAGTATTTTTACTGATTTCAGAGAGGAAGGGAGAG